TCTTCATTAGTTTCCATAATTTTCGAGAAACATTATAATACATAGTTATACACACTATTGGTCTAAATTTTTTTTGTTCCTTGAGTTTCCCACTTTTATCTATTGGTACAACTAGAGCTACTTTAAGTTCTATTGGAAATGAGCCCTCTATAAATAAACAATTTATAATTGATGTCATAAGCTCATATTATGTAGTTATAGGGAACTGCTCTATTACTTTAATGAAAAATTCATCAATGCCTGTAGAAAATTTATTTTTACTTTTAAGTTCTCCAACAGTTTCAAGAACCTTCTCTGTCGAGGTGGGCCTCAAATAAAAACTACATACACTAACATCTATTCTGGGCAGTGGAAATGACTTGGTTGATTTAATACTTTTTGTTAATTCAGTAGCTATGTTAGCATAGAAATCATTTAGCTGATCTGCAACATCTGCCGGTTGGTCGACTTCCCTTGAATTAACCATTAGTTTTATGCTTTGTGCTTTTTTGTTATTTTTCTCTTCCTCTTATGTCATTAACAATTTCCCAAGTATTTCGTTTACTATTTCGCGCATCTCTAATTTCTTTATTAAAAAATGTATTTTTTTCCTCAAAGATTAGATACTCTTTTTAATATTTGCTTGTTTTTCTTAAAATAATTGTGAAAACTAATACTAGTGCTAAATTTACTTAAAGTCCGTGGCATGGTTCTTGAGCTATGACTACTGAATAGACAGAGGGGACAATGGGCTATTGCTGCGTTATCATATCAATATTTATTAATACATGAAAATGAAGGAAATTTTATTGCAATTTTCATGTATTAATAAATATTATTGATATGACAACGCAGCAATAGCCCATTGTCCCCTCTGTCTATTCAGTAGTTATAGCTCAAGAACCATGCCACGGACTTTAAGTAACGTAGTTATCTTTTATTCCTACAGGCGGCTCGAATGCCAGGCGTTATATATTCTTTGGGTCTTTTCTTAACTTTTCTGTAGGGAAAGTAAACCTTTGCCTTGCTTTGCATAACTATGAAAAGCTCCAAACTTTTCGGAGCCAGACCTATAATCCTATATGAAAGACCAGTCTGTTTGTTCGATTTAAAATTATTTAGATTTTTCTGAGAATAATTTCTAAATTTGATGCAGCCTTCAATAGGATACCTCGAAGGAAGAACTTCTTTTACCCTAGCAAGAATTGCCTCATGGTCACTTAATCCTACAGAGAGTAGGTCTAAATGTATTTGCTTATTTTCAAAATTTGTGCAAAAATAATCTATAATCGTAGAACCATACTTTGTGAAAAGCGGTGAAAGCACCAACGCGCATTTTCAAATTAAAAGATATTAGTATGCTACTCAGATCCAGAGATTCTTGTGAATTTCTGTTCCTATTTATATTAAAGTCGCCCACCAATATTATGTTTGATTTCTTACAAAAAACATTCAGTACATTAAACAAATTATCACAAAAAACTTTTACGTTACCAGAGGGGGATCTATGATCTATATACATTTATCACATAAAAGTTTGACCCTTTGAAGTAAGCACAGGATAATTCGAAATCTATGTTCCTATTAAACTCTGAAAAATTATCAACATCAACACAATCAATAGATATTGTTTAACGCCAGAATAACAGAGCCCTCTCCCTTGTATGAGTTTCTTGAATAAAAGGAGGCCATCTTATAATGCGGACGAACCACCAAGGGTTTTTGTGGCTTCAAGCCATGCTCAGTCAAACAGACACTGTGGGGCAATTTAACTTCATCCAAAAAAATTGAAAATTCCAAACATTTATTTCTAATACTACTAATTGATTAGATCTCCCATATCCGGGCCTACATCTAAAAAATCATTTTGTTCATATGTATCATTGTATTCCACGTAGATTAAATTTTCATGTTTTACCTTCTTAATGACATTCATGATACTATTCACCATCGCATTTTTAGTCAGAAATATACCATTTTCATTATTTATATCTACACACTCTACCATATTATACATGCATTTATTCAATTTATTAGTGTATGAAAACATTCCCTTGTTAAATTCGTGAATATATCGATTTATGAGAGCATTCGAGAGAGAATAGGGAACAGTGGTACAGATAATGTTAGTATGTGTGCACATTTTTAACTTATTATCTATTTCATAGAAAGAGGGAAATTTATTGGCAACCAAATCATTAATTAAACCCACCGTGGATAATGATAAAATCTTTGGTACTTTAAATTAGCACAACGAAAATAGCACACATCAGAAAAACTAGAGTACTAAATTTGGGCCTATTTAGTGCTCATTTAGTATGAAAAAAATATATATAACTCTATTTTTAAAAAATTTACGTGCATGTGTGCCAGCTTAAGATTAAGCTGGACACTCTAGTTGGATAAGGTCGAATCTTTGAAAATCTTGTACCTACCTCATATTTAGTGCTAATTTAGTACATTCATGGCACGCCTAAAAAACTAACAATGATGTATTTATTAGGAAATAACTACGGAAAAGTGCTAACTTAAGAGGGGCGTTTAAATAAAATGTCATTCACAGACCTTCACAAATTTCTGTTCAATTCCAAATTTAGACCACTTTTCAGTGAAATGAAGTTATGTTCATAACAATAATAAATTGGAGTATGGGTTGAAGCATTTTTGGTTGCAAAATATGCAGTCTAAATAGTAAAATTATTACCAATTTTGTTGACAACAGTATTCAAATTTTGGGCACGGATTTAAATGAAAAAGGGATAAACACATAGAGTAGCACACCAACAATAAATTTCCAAAATTTCGGATCATAAAATGCTGGAATAAATTAGAAGAACAGAATTGCCGAAAATTTATAATGTTTTTATTCCAAAATTAATCAAAATCTGCCAAACAAGCAGGTGATTGCTGTCATTTTCAGCAGAGACTCGAACCAAACGTGTGTTCACCAAAATGAAATGGTGCACCGTCACGGATGCGGTGATTAAAATTCACGCCAATGCCAAACCACAGTTTGCCAAACCCTGCTTAATTTAACAACACTGCTTTTTCTACCATTTTACTACGGTGCCTATACCAACTGAATTTAGCCACACGCGGATTATAAGTCATCTTAACATTATCTTTTCCTTAAAAAAAACACCTAAGAACAATCAATCAACATTGCACATCAAATTCAAAAACGAATAATTTAATATAAAAGTGGCAATAAAAAAAAATGTATCTGAGAATTTCATACATCTGTCAAAACTGACCTTTCAACAATAAACTGACATGTTTTGATTGTGGACTTGAACCAATCAGATTGGAATTACGCGATAATTTGTACTAGTGCAAATTATCGGATAATTGCATAGTAGCTGGTGCGAAAACTGGTGATTTGACATTTATTGACAAAAAATTTAAATTTTTGATTCATGAAATTCTCTCAACAACTCGTGCAATGGAAATATCTCTATAATTTTCGACAAATTTGCACTCATGCGCTTTTAACTGAAAAGGGCACTCGTGCACGCAGTAGGGCAAATTTCCCAAAAATTATCGATAATCTCCATTGCACTCGTTATATTACTATTGATAATATTTGAAATACAGGGTGTCCCAGCCGAGAGTGACCCATTTTAAAGGCTTATAACTTTCAAACCAGGAGTGCTAGCTACCTGCGGTTTGCGCCATTCGATTTCTCTTGACCTAAAATTTTTTTCTAGTTGGTTGCAAATTTTTTTGCCACTTATACAGGGCGAGTTATAAAAAATCCGTTTTTCAACATCGAAATTTTCTCGAGAATTCTCCACTATTTTCAATGGAACACCCTGTATATCAGAACGTCAAAAAAAAAGAGTCATGTTCAAGGTATCCATGTACCAATAAAGATCGTCGTTCAAACTTGAAGTTTTAGCTGTAAAAAATCAAAATCGAAATCCTTTTTTTTTTTATTAGTATATTTACAAAGCTTGGAAATTATGTTTGCCCACTAAAAAGTTAATAAATACTGCACAAAACTATAAAACAAGCTGTATATGTTAGCCATTTATAAATCAGTAAATGGTTGAATAAATTGTGTAACATTTCCTGAGGAATCCCTTCAATGACATCACGAATATTCCACTTGGGATCTTCCAGGCTATTTGGCAAAGGATTACAGGATCCCTCCTTGACATAATTCCAGAGAAAAAAGTCTGCAACTGTCAAGTCAGGAGAGTAAGGTGTCCATATTCTATAGGCCCAGCTCTCCCAATCCATTTTCCGAATGTCATATCTATCTTGATCTTGATGATAGCTTATGAAAATCTAGGATAAGAATATAAAATCGGTTTTGCTGTAAAATCAACCGTTTAGGTTTTACAGTCTGTCAAAGATGCAAAAAAGTCAATTTTAAAACTGTCAATATTTCCGAAACAGTTGCAGATAGGTATATAACATTGTACATGAAATATGTCTAGAATTTTCCATAGAATCCAGAAATGTCATAATCTACAGGGGGAGTCATTCAAAAAAAACATAACTTCGTATCACCACTACTTATCGGGCCACCCTGTATACTGAAAAATAATTTAGGAATGTAGTACTCATGTTTATCTACCAGTTTTGTATTTAGTTTTTTTTTCGATCTCCGTTAGTATAGGTGATATGGACCACCGCGAGCTTAGTAACTCACCCTGTATATAGATGAAATGACTTATTTTTAATTACCGACGTGCTTGCAAATGAAATAGTATACAAACCTCAGAGGAAAGTTTTCATTTGTGTCTCGAGATTAATTGTCAATCTCTCAACAGTAATGAATCACTTCCCTACTCGGTATGTAATATACATATTATTATCAGATCTGATTAAGACCTATAATGATCACCAGCAATGACTAATGAACTGGTCCTCTGTGAAAATTTTGTTGTTGGCTTATTTTTACTGGCAACAAGACAAGGAGCTCATATAAAAATGTTTCCACTCTCTAAAAATAGATAGTAGATAACTACATGATTCTTTCCCAATTATATTATAATGCATGACTTTCTTTTCAGGGATTCTTAAAAAGCACCAAGACAAATTAGAAAAAGAAATCAGTAAAAAACTCCAACACAATGACCATGTGATATGGCACAACATTCCAGGATCAACTTACAAAAATGGTTTCGTTGGTCGCAAAATTCACATTAAACTTTTATCGCAAGATAATGGGAAAACCAGCATAGCAAATTTGGCTCAACGTCTTTCAAAAAGTGAATCTGAGATTAGTGATATTTCCATACCGTTTGTGGACCACGCTCTTCAAAAAGATTTCGAGTTTCCGGACCCGGAGATGGGCATCAGTTGTGGAAAGTATTTGAGTTTCATTAATTATCCACCATGGCAAATTAGAGTTACGGAATTTTTAAGTATAAAATCGCATTATAGATTTAGGTACAGGACTTTTTTGGAATTGTTGTACGTATATGGTAGATGTGAACAAAGATTAGGTAAATGAAAACTAGTAATTTTACACTTTTAAAGTGTTTTTGTTGTATATATTTATTGATTATTATTAAAATATACAAATATTAAAAAATTGTTAATCTTTTTTTTTCTAAATAAGCAATCAAATATGTACTTTTGTTCTGCTCAAAGAAATCCTAATGAAGAAGTCACCTGAAAGATTTTTGGTACTCTAAAACCATGCATAAGAAATTGAAATTACATAAATATGTGCTTTCAAATTGACACACTTACCTTGCTTTTGCTTGGGAGCTGATACAATTAAGAGTCTACCAATCAAATCAAACCTTTTTGTAATTTCCTCAAGAGTATGTTTTTTTTTAAATTAAAATGTGTCTTAATAAACATGTGAAAAGCAGGTGTACTTGCGAATAAATTTTGGAAACAAATATTTGGTTTTTGTTAGGCCTTTGGTAGAAAATGGGATAAATGTCTATCCATCAAAATGAACATCTCGTAATTTTATGTCTAATTATCTATTGTGTTATTGCTAAATGCGTATAAAATTTAATTAAATGCTCCAGCAGGTGATTCAATGATTCTACCTACTTATTTCATAATAATTGATTAAAATTGAAAAATTTATTATCTCTGATATGGTCCAATGTTTAATAAATTGTTGATTTGTTACAATGTAATAGTATCAAAATGTAAAGAATAATTATTACAATATTATTTCAAAATTTAATTGGCTTGCATATTACAAAGATAAGAAAAAACATTATTTTTTTATGCCATAATATTGTTTTTTAAATTGAGGTACATTATGTAAAAAAAAAAACATTTAAATTTGTAGGAAATTATAACTTAATATTTAAGGCGCAATTAAATTTGTAAAAATACGTGATGCTTACATTTTTATTGCCATTTGTGAAGGAAAATTCTGGTAACACCAGGATTTGATGAATTTTTTTCGAGAACGAAAACCGTTTGTCATAGACGATGGTACCTAGGGTGTAGCCCCCAGCTAGCAAAGTAGTTCTATAAATTTACAGTAATAGAACTTCTATGTTGTGCCTATTTTGCCTTCAGGAACCGAATTGTTATTTGAATTAATTGCAAGAACGTTCTTAGAACATAATTATAGAGCTTTTTTGAGATAAGTGCCAATGTTGGTATAAGTGTGCACAGTAACACGAATTTTACAGCAACAGTGCTTATAGAATCAAATTACTGTGAAACTGATGCAAAATAGTGCGTTATTATTATTATTATTATTACATCCTTTATTTAGCATAAAAATTGCTAGTTTACAATAGTACAAAATATATATATACAACTTGAAAAGTAACTAAGAAATAAAATGTAAAATAATTCTATAAAATAAATAAACCAACAGAGCAAAACTTATCACAAACAATACAGTAATTTAAAAGTTATCACAGGATCAACCATCCAGTATGTCACAATTACTTAGCATATAAATGTTTAATCAAATTTCACAGTTTTACCATTTTACAAAGCAAATCACTTTACTAACAGAAACAATCAATCAATCAATATAAACGGAAATCATAACAAAACAATTAAAAACATCCTTGCAAAATACAATTGTAAAATTAGTGACAATTATTAAAATGGACAAAGACAAGAGTCAGAAGGGACAAAATGGACAAAAACTTGATCAAGATGTCTTATTAAATGCACAAAGACTATGTTGACTTAGGAAACAAGATCGTTTTCCCTAAGAAAAAACAATTTTAAATTTTTCTTGAAACCATTCAGAGATAAACTATTTTTAATATTATTAGGTAACTTATTAAAATCATCCAGACCTTTAAAAAAAACAGAATTTCCAGCAAGCTTTTTATTTCTACATTGTATATGCATTAAAAACTACTAATCTTGACCATATTGACAAACTATGCGAACATCTGCTAAGGTGACTAATTCCATAGCTTTGAGATAGTTAAGTTGCAGTGCTCCCTAAATGACATTTTGTCGTCTATAACTACACCTAGATATTTAATTTTTTTGACACTAGCTAAAGCCTCGTTACCCATTACGATATTATGTTGGTTTACCATAAATAACTGTTTTATGCTTTCCTTTGCGATTACAATATAGTTTGTTTTACTCTTGTTAACCTTAAGAAGATTTCTCTTGCAATACTGATCAATTTTCACTAGAACAGTATTTATTTTAATAACTAAATGTTCAATGTTTTCAGAAGGTCCATAAAGCAAGGTATCATCAGCGAAAAGATGTAACCCCAAATTATCCTGATCATTAACTACATTCATCATATCATTCACATAAAGCACAAACAAAATAGGGCCCAACACACTCCCTTGCGGAACTCCCAACTCATTGGAAATTTGCTCAGACATTTTTCCATTCAATCTCACAAGTTGTCTTCTATCTGTTAAGTAACTACGAAACCACCTCAGTACTCTTCCAGATACTCCCATCTTTTCAAGTTTTTCAAGTAGTTTGCCTCTATCTATTGTCTCAAAAGCTCGTTGGAGATCTAGAAACACTGCGATTGTACTTTTATTGCTGTCGAAACTATTTTTCCATTTATCCAGAACAAACTAGATTGCCGTCTCACAACTGTGCGCTTTTCGGAACCCCGATTGATGTTCAGTAATTAAATTACAGTTTTCCAGATACTCAACAAATTGACTATACACAACTCTCTCAAAGATTTTTTCAAGGACCGGAAGAGTATTATGGAATTATACCATCCCATGTCGAACTCTTATAAAATTATTCCGTAATGTCGCTAATAGTTTTTTTATTTATTCATTTTATTTATTTATTTATTAACATATTTATATATAGGTTAGAACTATTGGGTAAGGGGTTGCTAAATGACAATCCTGCTGCGGAGATTAAATTATAAATATGGAAACTGCTATCAAACTTAAGGGAAAAAGCTCTTTAAAGCTGTTATGGAGAGTAATAATACGAATACGGCAATAATAGAATCATAATAGAGTAAATAATGCCTAGAACTATATACAGGGTAGGTATACCATTTAAAACGAAACAGGCTAAATATCTGATGCCACGTTTATTTTTCAAGAAATCGCTAATACACGTATTCTGATTTTCAAAGGGGGAAGTTTTCTGCAACCATTTTAAGCACTTCAACTTTAACCGGGGTGGGACCAACCCACTATTTTAAATGGGACAAGAGGTCGTGTGATACCTCTTTTAACAGAGCATTCAATTCTATTTCATTTTGTGTCATTTGAAAGAAAATTGAACGGTCTTTTAAAACAGGTATCACTCGACCCCCTGTTCCATTTAGAATGGTAAGGGTTGGTGCCACTCCCCCTAGAGTTAGTACTGAAAATGTTTCAAACACTCACATAATCAAATTACGTGTACGAGAGATTTAAAAAATAAAATAAAAGTGGCATCCATCAGATATTTAGCCTGTTTCGTTTTAAATGGTATACCCTGATACCACACCTCCATTGACGACGCCATATGAAGCTGTGACATATGTTTGAAGAGGTTATTTTTGGGCAACATCTTGCTAAAAAATGTCAAGTAAATGGAAAAAAGTTTAAAGAAGTGGGGCGTTCCAGAGGAAAATCAAGAAAATTTTCGAAAACTTATTAAGCGATAGTATCCATTCACGTAAATAACAACACTGCAAGAAATGATGTCCAGGAGGCAGAGAAAAATAAAATAGTAGGTATTCGACACAAAAGCAAGATGACGAAGATCTAATAAAACGAAACTGAATTATATTTTTTGTACAGTAAATCTTGTTTTTAAAAACTATTTATTTTATTAAAAACTAAGGAGTTACAACAAAAAATACTAGACTCTAATTGCTGCGGCGAAAGCCAAAAACAAAAAAATCTTTGATTCCAAATTGCTATAGTCTAAGCCTACTCAGCATCTTTATAATATCCTGGGCTTTTACAGTGGCGTACGCTTACATTTAACATTGAAAAGGAGAATTATTTGTATAATAATAACATAGGATAGGGCTTTATAATATAACACCTCCCTCCTTAAGGGGATGGGCCTCAATGCCAAAATATTTTTTCCTGCGCGAAACACCTAACGCAGTCTATCATTGTTTTCTTCCGCTCCGATTAATACTCCTTAGTGGGAATGAGATGAAAGAAACAAGGAATGCATTGCATTCTTAATTTCAACCTAATTTTTGACAATTGAAGTTATATCAACTTTCTTTTTTGCATTCTAGTACAGTAAATAGGGATATTTTACTAAAAAAAAATACTTAATGGCTGAAATTTTGAGGGTGTGTTCGGGCGCATGTCCTGAATCTAAAACTGAGTTTTCGTATTCGAGGGGGTGGGGGAAGATACTACCCCCTCTTTATGTAGGGTTGAGTTCGTTTTAATTCCTCATCTTTGGTGCTATTGCCCGTACCGTCAAGTCCAAGAGATCAAATTTGTGGGAAATAAAATTATCTATCTAATGATAATAAAATCAAGGTCATAGGACGATTAGGTGAATCACAATGGCCGGTCAAAGGTCAAAAGTGGGGGGTAGTTTTTGGTTTTTCGTGGATACCGTGAAACCGGTAGGTTTTTTCGCATACTGCTTAGATACCATTTCGAAGTTCTTGAAATTACCTACAAAATGAGTGCTCAAACACTCATCTATTGTGAATAGTTTGGCGTCAATCCAACGACCAAGTTGACCGCGCGCGCCGATGTTGACAACTTGGTCGTTGGATTGACGGCAAGCTATTCACAGTAGACGAGTGTTTTTGCACTCATTTTGTAGGTAATTTCAAGTACTTCGAAATGGTATATAAGCAGTATGCGAAAAAACCTACCGGTTTCACGGTATTCACGAAAAACCAAAAACTACCCCTCACTTTTGACCTTTGACCGGCCATTGTGATTCACCTAATCGTCCTATGACCTTGATTTTATTATCATTAGATAAATAATTTTATTTCCCACAAATTTGATCTCTCTGACTTGACGGTACGGGCAATAGCACCGAAGATAAGGAATTAAAACGAACTCAACCCTACATAAAGAGGGGGTAGTATCTTCCCGCACCCCCTCGAATACGAAAACTCAGTTTTAGACTCAGGACATGCCCCCGAACACACCCTCAAAATTTCAGCCATTAACTATTTTTTTTTAGTAAATGCAATTTATTTGTCTCTATTTACTGTACTATTCGATTTATAATATAGGGACGAATGGCGCTATCTTTTTAGAAATCCGATAATAGAAACAAATTCTGGAAAAATGACAAAAATGTAATTTAAACTGAAAAAAAAAAAACAAGAAAGTTAATCAATTTATGGTGTTTTTTTAGTTAGTGCCATTCTTATGTGTGTTAGCAATACGCAATGGCGCAAACCAGACTTCCAAAAATTATCTAGTTTTTTTTGTAGAAATTTAATTGATTCTTGCAGCAAACCCCATGACTCTTTCCTCCGCCTGTTTTTCTATACATTTTAAATCGCCGTGATATTTTAATACCTTACAATGGTGATCAGCTTGAGTCGTTGGAGAGTTTGCGTTTTTTGAGGGTGCAAATTGATCATAGGTTGGATTGGAAGGCACACGAGAGCCTAGCATGCAGTATATCCAAATACTGCTATGCTCTGAGCATAATAGCTAAAGAAGTAAGCACTTTGGCTGCCATAAGCGCTTTTCATGCTTATATCCAGTCTAGGCTACGATATGGAGTTATTTTTTGGGGTGGCTCATCTGATGTGCACAGAATTATGGTCATGCAGAAAAGGTGCCTGCGGAGTATATTTTGTATGAGGCAGCAAGAAAGCTGTAGGCCTATTTTTCTAAAATATCAAATATTGACTGTGATAGGAATGTATATATTGGATACTGTGTTATTTTTATATGATAATAGAGATCTCTTTTCTGATTGTGATTTGAAGCACTACTATAACACTCGCAACAAAAATAGTATGGTACCTGAAAAGTGCAATTTTGCTTACCTACAAAAAAATGTTAAACACTGCGCTATAAAGATTTTTAATTCATTGCCAGAGAGAGTTAGATGTTTGTCGAGAAGTGAACTTAAATCTGTTTTGTATAAATACCTAATCAATAAAGCATTTTATAGCATCGGTGAATTTTACAATGATGAGGATAGGACAACTCGGTTCGCTGGAAAATAATCCATAGATAAATTCAATAGGCACTCAAGTGCAGAGAATATAATAGTTTGTGTAAATCTGTTGTTTTTTGTTGTGTTTTCTGTTTTTCTTTATGTTGTATAAGGCTCGGCCATGAAATGTCCTTTTAATGTTTATATTACTTGTGAGGGAAAATGATATTGAATGTCATTATTGAATGTATAGGCGCAGTTATAGTGTTAAGATCTAGTAAATCTATTAAATGGTATATTTTCACATTGTGACATTGTTCTACACCCTTCTGGGTTTTTTGTTATGTTTATTGTAACTGAACAAATAAAGAATATCTATCTATCTATCTAAAGGATCCAGTGCCGACCGGCTCAACAGTAGCCCAATGCAATGATCGCGATGAACCTCGCGTCTTTATTAGTATTAACTTATTGGGTAGTTGTATAGTTCGACGTGCGTTACAATATATTTTAAACGGCGCATTCAATACCCTTAAGTAGTTGCAAATTGGGATTAACTAACAATGTTGGGCAATTCAATCTGCACCTCAGTTTTAGTTTTACTACATTTTCCTTTAAAATATAGAACTACGGGAATTATCAGGTGTTAATACCCGCAGCACGGGCAATTGGTGTACCTCGGGCCAGAGGCCCTCGGGACACAAATGTTGCACTGGAGCATTAACACCCTCATAATTCCCTTGATACATAAAAAACTATTAATGGGTCAGTCTTTAATTTATTTGCTTCTTCAATCGCTGATTGAAGAGCTTCATGGTCGACTGCTTTTAGTCTTACAGTTGTGGTATTCTCTAGAAGTTCGGGAATGTCGATGATGGGTAGTTCAAGTTCTAGGTTGAAGCTCTCATGCGTGTCTTTCAAAAATATTCGATTGTTAATTGTCATTGAATATTTACCTTTGAAAATTACGATTGGACTGGAAATGATATTGCTGTTACATGTCGTTTTGGAATCACAATACTTGATTATTGGGTATTTCTTCAACTAGCTGTGGACTCTTCGTATTGAATTTTCGTGAATGGGCATATAATTGTTGTTCACTAGAATCGTATTCTAGAATAAAAAACACATATTTCCATTTAAAATAAGAAAATGACCCCCACTCCTCTTAAGGGGGTGAAAGGACAAATATCAAAAATATCTTAAAATGTGTCCCCCCCGTGTACTTATTACGTCATAAAAATGTGAATAAAAAAAATTGCAGCCTTAAACGATTATAAGTTCTCTAGATAGAAGACCAAGCAACAAAAAAATTCTATAACGAAAAAATATGCGCTGCTAAACAATAATCATATAAGAGTTCTTTATTTATTTATTTATTTATTTATTTATTCATTACAAACTCTACAGATTTACATCCAGTTACAGAGTAGGGTAGAAGACTAACCTAAGTGGAAGCAAAAATATAAAGTAAAGTAAAGAGTCATCGAGAGAGTAACTTAACATTAAAAGCTACATTTGTACAAATATATCATTAAGTATTAATTTCAGCCTACTTACAGAACTTAAATTCCACATATCAAATTGTAGGCGCATTTGGTTGTATAATTTACACATTACAATAACAGGCGAGTTGTTGTAGTAATTAGTTCGAGTATTATCAGTATATAAGCTCAAAGGATTTCGTGTTCTATATGTCGGAGCATAAAATTTAATTTGGTTCAACAAATAAGGAGCATTTATCATGTTATTTAATATTTTATAAAGAAATATAATTGTAGAAAATTTCCTCCTGCCTTCAAGCGTTTGTATATTATGAGCTTTCATGATTTCTAATTTTGGTATATGCATTTCGTATCGCCCTGTTTCCTTGTAGTGTAAATATCTCAAAAATTTATTTTGAATTTTTTCAATACTATATTTATGATTCTCATAACACGGGCTCCATATTATAGAACATATTGTTTTATACAGTAGGTACAACATCTCAATAGTTATAAACCAAACATTGCTCTATAAAATTTGCTCTGGGAACGTTCTTAGGATTTTTATAGAACATGAAATTGTTAGCTAGGGTCATATTCTGACACCCCACCTGCAGTCCATCAATCGGAACTGTGAAATTTAGGCCAAAAGTTAAAGGACCACAACCTTCATGGACTAGTGACAAGTCGTTTTAGAATATTTGGAAAATGTCTGAAATTTACAAATTCAGCAACAAAGAACATTATTATATTAAGAAACAGCATACCAGGGAAGACAGTTTAATAATAAATCTTCATAGTCAAAGTTGCTGATTATAGCTTTGAGAAAAACACCTGAAGTTTATTGGGGCAAAATCATCAAAGAAAGTATTCCTTGAGGCATTTCATTTAGCAACTCTGGAACATTTGTTATGAAAATTGAAAATAGGAATATCATTTATAATTTATATCTGCTCAAGGGCGAAAGAGTTTAAAAAATATCTTCTCAAGTAGGCATATAATTTCGCCTAGTAATTCACAATTTCCACTTCTAATAAAGATGTGTAGTTTGTTCGACAGATTTGCTTCTTGGTGTTCTACGAACCTACTGAAAATCAACATATCTAAATGCAAATCAATAACATTCCACAAGAGTACATCTCCTCACATGTCAACATATAAGATTGGTGGTCAACAAATTGATAATGTGGAATTCATCAACCATCTTGGAGTAACGTTCGATCAAAAACTGATATTCAAAATTCACATCGATAATATTGTTGTCAAAAGCTGCAGATTGCTTGGCTTCATTAAGCGAAATACCAAACACATCAACGACACAGAGGCACTTACATGTCTTTACAACGCCTCCTTCATCTGGAATACCTTATGAAACCAGACTGTTGCTGTGTGGGATGATGAGTCTTCTTGAGCAGGGACGGAAACACGCCCTACTCATAATTCTTTACAAAATCCTGAATAATTGGATAGATTGCAGCACATTATTGGAATCAATATTATTTTTGGTCCCCATTAGACGAACCGGCTACATCAACTTTTTTATGAGCACCCGCACAGAACAAATTATGGATTCACAGCTTTTGTGGACACAACGATTTGAAATTACAACAGAAAATATAGGGAGTGTGATCTTTTAAATTGTTCCTTATTGTCGGTTACACGTTGTGTCTAAGCTTTGGATTTTAATTTATATTTGTTATATGTACTACTAGTCGAACTATTGTTCACTGTGATTTTGTTCTATATCTTATTTTTTTAAACCATATTTTCATGTATGTACCATTTAGAAAACTTATTATTAACCTGTAGTGTACTGATTGAGTAAATAAATAAATAAACTATAAATTTTAATCTATTAGACATCAGCTCAATAGTATCATTGGGTTGACCCCTAGATTTTGACCCACTCACTATTAAAAATTGTAATGATAAACTTAAATTATCAGAACAGTATGGCAAATTTTTAGGAAATAAAACAAACATAATTCCTAAATAAAAGGGTCAATTTATTTAAAAATACGCAACCCGCCTAACCTAGAACATCTTACAAGAAGTAAGTTCTTGGTTTGCGGACAGAGAACAAGTTCATAGAATTGTGTTGGATTCGCTTGGGCAGAGGGAAACGAATCTTGGAATCGTGGAATTGTTTCACTTGTGGCCTTCTAGTATCGCCAGCCTTCACTTGTTCTACTTTGATGATCTAAACGAAAAATAATTATTTTAGAAGAAAGTTATGACATCTAATACATAATTTTACTATGTAATTTTTGTATAGTGTAACATGTTTTTAGTTGACAAAATTATATGAAAAATAATTTGCCAGTGGAAAACGTGTATTTATGTATGTCTCATTTGACACTCAAATGAAAATTGAGATTATCATTCAAGAAACACTGAGACAATAGTAAAGTTATTAGTTTTCTTTTATGATACAACATTATTATTGATTGTAAATTTTATTAAGTATAAGGATAAGGACAATAACCAAAACTTAATTATTTCTTTGGAAATTTAATATATTATGTAGTACTTGTACTTACTTGAATAGCGTGAGCTCTAGCACGGTGACGAGCACCCATATCTCTGTAACATTGTGTTACAGCTCCAGAAACGCTGAGGTCTCTGTATTCCCTGTACATGTTGTGGGTTCCAGAACGGGAGTCATACCTAGAAAAAACAACAATAAACTTCAATGGGTATTAAAAAAAAGTTAATTAGACATTTCTCAGACAGTTTTTATGGCTGTTTAAATTCAAATTTAAATTTTATTTATGCATATAGCCTTTACAATAATTACTTAATTCTGCTAAAAGAAGTCAAAAGAAGAATATAAAATCATCAGAAATACAGTCTTCCAAAAAAAATCACTCTTGACATATAATCTTCAATACAAGAAACAAGATGACAAGAGTAATTATACAGGGGGTGATTCCTCGGGTAATTCTTAGGCAATGACATCAAAACACAGATAGATGGATCATCCCATTCATAAACTATTATTTGTTGTGTTGACAAGACCACCCATGGGCCAGGGGAGGTGAGTTGCTCGCGGGGTCGGGGTAGGGAGACATCATTGCTCAAAATGGTGTAAAAAACCCCGCCCACACGTGAATATATCTCGAAATTTAATTGGATGAATAAATAAAATAACAAATTGACAAATAAACTGAAAATATTCGATACGAGCCCTTTATTCTGGGAGTACCAATATCGTGTTAGTCGTTTCTTGTTTAACGCTAATGAATAATCCCTGTTTGCAATAAAGATAGCTAGCTACTACAATCAACACCTGCCTGCCATTCAACAAGCCGCTTCTGGGCGGTGTTTTGCTATAATCTGCTGTTGCCAAATTGAGTTCAGAAATAAAATTGAAAATGTTAATTAGAGGAGAAAAATATATTATTTAGGGATTCAAGACAAAATTTGGCATTCTCAGTGGTGGGGATAGCACAAAGACCCAAAAGAGACAGAGAGATGTTGTCATACGAAATTTTTGTTTATTGTTCGGTCTATCTGTGTTTTGATGTCATTGTTCTTAGGTGTATTTTATGACTAAAATTTCTAATAAACATAGGTCCGCAAACGCTTAGTAACCGATCTACAAGGTGTTGAAATTTTAATAATTTTTTAGTTTTTTGGGAATAAAGGTTACGCAATAAGACCTAAATGATTGTACATATCAAACATTTTCCAGAATCTACATGGTGATGTTTCTTCAGGGGTCATGCTGGATTCTATAAAACAATTTGATTTTTCTACTTTATTTAGAAACTTTTTGTTCTCTTGTAGTTTTTTCAAATCATCAACCCTTATAGAGAGAAAAATTGAAAAACAAATATCTGTTATTAGCTAGATGAAACTACAGTGACTCGATAAACCTTTTCTACCTACAGTGGAGTGGCTACAGTGACTCTATTACCCACAGTGGCGACAATTGCTGTCTTATTTTTGATTGGTTCTAAAATCCCATATATTTATATTGAAAACGCCGCCATCTTGTTCCCAACCTCTTGTTCCTTTTAAATATGAATATATGGGATTTAGGTGAACATCCATCATAAAACAGGGAAAACCATGTATTTGATGGACCTAATAATGGTCATCAAATATATCGATTTCAATTTTTTATGATAGAGGTCCATTAAAATCTTATATATCAATATTTAAAAGTAACAAGAGGTTGGGAACAAGATGGCGGCGGGACCTCTATTGTCGCCACTGTATGTAAACGTTTATTTAGCCACTGTAGAGTGGCTACAATAGAGGTCCCCCTACTATATTCTTGTTAATTTTCAATAGGAATCTAGAAGTAAACCACACCCTCGCTGTCATATTCTTGCTCATTTCCAATATAAATATATTAAAATTTCAACACCCTGTAGATCAGTAACAAAACGTTTGCGGACCTATGTTTATTAGAAATTTAGTCGTAAAATAAACCAAAGAATTGAGACAGAAGAAGTGAGCATGGAGAGAAGAAAAATGGGAAAATCATTGGAAATTTTAATTAAAAAGAAAGAGATTTTTCGTTTAAAGAATTTTCCATGACTTTCTTAAAGCAACCTGGGCTGGGACTCTGTACCGAATATAGGTATTTTCTCTATCTCTATTAGCATACCCTCCCTACTGATTTTGAGAAAAAAGAAGATAGCAAGTGCCATCATAGCGATAACAATCTCTATCTATCTATATGATAATATCTTTAGTATTAATGACGACACTATTCAAAGGGTAATAATTTTCCAGAGGTAAATTTTTTAGACCAACCTCTTCCACAAACTGCGCAAGCGCGGCACAAAACATAAAAAATAATAACGCCGCCGTCTCCGTATTTCTAATTAATATACAATCGCTAAGGAACAAACTTGATGATTTATATCTGCTGTTGGAAGATAACAATTTTCCAGCTTTCTTACTTATAACTGAGCACTGGCTAGCAGAAAATGAACCATTTTGTATTGAAAATTATACTGTGGTGTCTCTCTATTGTAGAAATAGTAAAACTCATGGTGGAACTGCTATTCTTGTCAATAAGACATTTTTACAATCTTTTGATGTTACCCCCATAACAAAGTTTAATACCCTTTTAATTGAAAATGTTTTTGAATTCTCCTTGTTATATAACAAAAAAAATAATTTACATATTTTGTGTATATACAGGCCCCCCTATTATTCAAACTTAAAGCAATACTTTGAAAATCTTGAAATTCTTTTATCAAAACTGCCACCCAAGGCAGGTTTGATACTAGGGGGAGACCTTAATATAAATTTTGATGATGACAGATCAGAGGCACAGCAAACTCTGTCTAACTTGTTTTTATCATTTGACCTAGAGATGTATGTTAACGAACCTACTAGAATAACTGTTCATTCTCGAACCAAAATCGATTATCTGTGTTCAAATTTTGTCTTAAAGCAAATGTTTGTTAGCTGTAGTGTAATTCCTGTAGGCATTTCGGATCACGAGGCAGTTTTAGCAAAATTTCAACTTGCGATAAATAAACCACCAAAATATAAAGTTGGTAGACTACTTAGCAGCAACAATTATAAAAAATTTAAAGATATTTGCAAGGAATTAAATTGGCCAGCAGTTTTGAATTGTCAATCACCACTAAACGAATACCAAAAATTAGTAACTGATGCATTTTTAAAATCTTTTCCATTACAAAAAATTAAGCAAAAGAAAAGTAAACTTTGGATTACTCCCGCTATTAAAGTTTCATCAAAAAACATGCGTTCGTTACAAAATATTCGCAAATTTACTGATTGTCCTCAGTTCATAAGTTATTTCTGCAGATATAGAAAAATTTACAAAAGTGTTTTAAAAGCAGCTAAAGAAAAGTTTTATCAGAATAGAATAAACTCCTCCAAAAATGCCAGCAAAGAAAACTGGAAAATAATTAATCAGTTAACTGGTAAAAACTCAGTTCTTCAAACAGATGTTAAATTAGATCCCCATATTCTCAACAACTTCTACTGTAGTGTTGCTGATACTTTACAACAAAACTTGAAAAGTAATGTGGATCCTGGTTCTTATTTATTGGATGTTAAAATAAATGACACATTTGTACTGGAAACTACAAACGTATTAGAACTTAATGAAATCTTTAGAGGAATAAAAAACAATAAATCCAGTGGGCACGATAATGTTTCATTAAATTTGCTTAGAAACTTGCCTGATAATGCATTATATGTCTTGTCTGAATGTATTAATATTTCATTTTTAACAGGAGTATTTCCAGACTGCCTGAAAAAAGCTATTGTGTTGCCTGTTTATAAGGGTGGCGATTTGGACAACCCATGTAATTATCGACCAATATCACTTCTCTCGACGTTGTCAAAAATAGTTGAAAAGTTAGTTAAAGAAAGAATGTTGAAATATTTTTCAAAACACAACATAATAAGTGACACTCAATTTGGATTCCAACCATTAAAGGGCACCCATGATGCAATGTTTAATCTTTTGGAACAGGTATTCGTCAGTCTTAATGAAAGTGAGCTTGTCTCCGTTGTGTTTTGTGATTTCTCTAAAGCCTTTGATTGCGTAAATCATAAAATAATGCTTAAAAAACTAGAAATTTATGGCTTCGGAGGAATCTCATACTCATGGTTTGAATCTTATTTCTCGGGAAGAGAACAATTTGTTAAGATTGGTGATACTCAGTCATCAAACTTGGCTGTGACCAATGGTGTCCCACAAGGATCTGTGTTGGGACCAATATTGTTTTTACTTTATTTAAATGATATTATTCACCTCCCCATTAGAGCTAAAATAACATCATTCGCTGATCACATTACTCTGTCCTGGAACGGAAAAAATATTGAAGAGTTGAAAAAGATTATTTCTGAAGACCTAAATCTTGTAAAGAGCTGGTGTGACTCTAACTTGCTTTGTTTTAACTCTAAGAAAACCAACATATTGACATTTAAATTTTTTTTTGATGATTTATTATTAGACACACACACAATTGAAAATAAAACTAGCTGTAAATTTCTTGGTGTTCATGTTGATACTCAACTTAAGTTTAATGAGCACGTTACAAATCTAAACAAACGATTGGCAAGTGGTTGCTATGCTGTAAGAATAGCGTCAAATGAACTTGGTTTGAATACTGCTAAGTTGGTTTATTTCTCGTTGGTTGAATCTCATATCAGGTATGGCATTGCATTTTGGGGTAACTGTTCTAATAAATTGTTTGATTCTGTTTTTGTCATTCAAAAGAGAGCAGTGCGCTATTTGTGTAAGGTTGGATATTGGGAGCATTGCAAGCCACTATTTTTAAAACATAAAATACTTACAGTATGCTGTATATTTATCATGGAAACTGCTTGCCTTATGCACAAAAAACATTATGATGAGTTAGAATATCCAAGAACTTATCCAACTAGGCAACTTCTTAAAATTCAGCTTCCTATACCCAAGACTGCATTGGCGCAAAATTCACTAATTTATAAAAGTAGGCAAATTTTTAATCATCTGCCTGTTAACTTAAGGCAGATAGGTGGTTTTAAAAAGTTTAGACTAGAGCTCAAAACATTTTTACATGGAAAAGCCTACTATCATATTAATGAATTTTTAAATGAAAAATTTTAATTTTGTTTGTTTCATTGTTTTGTTTTGTTCTGACCGCAACCTTTATGTTTTTTCTGTATTGGCTGTACCTTCTATATGACTCTATAGTTTGATGTAGTAAAAATTGTACATGTGTTGCTTAGGATTATGCTTTGACATTTATGTTTATGTTTATTTTTTATTTTATTGATTGTACCTCTTTTTGTTTTTTTATAACCCGATAATTTTTAATTACTTGCACATTATTTAAGATCATGCTTTGTCAATGAAATTTATTTTTCCGACAATAAAGTATATTTTGATTGATTGATTGATATCCATTACAGAGTCCCAGCCCTGGACAGGCAAACTTATAACAAATTACAACAGTTGTAGATAAAAAATGTTACATATTTTTAGTTGACAAAATCAATATAAATATAACATGTCAGTGGAAAAAATGTATTAATGTACGTCTCATTTGACACTTAAATGAAAATTGAGATTATCATTCAAGAAACACTGAGACGATGATAAAAATCAATGAAGTAGTAAGATGGTTGGAATAGCCCTTTGCCTATCTACTCAATACATATATTTGCGGCCAACATTAGAGTGAGAGAACAGGAGAGATCCTTGAGATTTTCCTGCCCTGACTAGCCCTATTTCACTCATGGTTAGAGTTAGAGATATAGGAGATCCAATAGATTTTTTGCCCTTACTAGCGCTATCTCATTCTGGAATCAATTGAATGACACAAAGCCCATTCCAAACCTTCTTTCTACTTCATTGATAAAAATTCCTAGGACAAGCCTTTCCATAAATTACAAATTTAGCCTAAGGAAGGTTTCAGTCAAAATAATGCAACCAACTACTTTTTACTCTTATAAATTATTGCTATTGTGTATTGTTTACTCATTTATGATGTCTGTATAAGGGGCTGCAAAAAGTGTGTCTTATGAATCAATGTAACACAGAAAATAGTAATACAAGGCAAATAGATACTATTTGGTGTTATCTAAATAACTTTGAAAAAGTAGAAGTTAAGATTGTTACTTGCCTGAGCCAAATACCGAAGTTCTTGATTTTGGTTGGAGTCCTTTCTGGAATAGGCTTAACGGAGACGATTTCTCCAGTGGATTTCTTGAACTTTTTCAATTGTCTCAAGAAGTACCAGAAACGGGATTTTGCCACAATCGGATCGGGGGCGAAGATCCTCATTTTGTACAGAGGAGTGGTGGTCTCCTTTTCGGTGGGCAATTTGCGCCCGATGACCTCATATTCGTTCAACTGAAACAGGAATGGGGTACATTGAAAACATAACCTCTAAAAAATTATAATGTGGCTTGCCAAAACGTATCGTGAGTAAAAACTAATGCCGTTCAATAGCAAAATTTATAAATTGGTTTGGATAGGAGCAATTTAAGCAGAAATATTGCTGGAAACATATTTTTTGGCCCACCACATGCACGTGTACACAACAAAAACGGCACTCGATTTTTTCACACTAGATTGCGAAGGAATTTTGGCGAATTTGAATTTATGTTATAGAGGAGGCTCTATTTAACGATTATTTGAATAAAAAACTACGTTAAAAATGCTTAGATTATTGAAAAAATTAGAAAAACCAACCTCTCCCTTCGCTTTCATGGCTGCAGTTTTTGACGGAAAGAAAGCGGATTTTTTTCGAAATGTTGGCAGCACTGTTTATAGTTCCTCAAATCACTATAGAGGGCGCATTTGTTTTTTCAAATCTTATAGCGCTTTCGATTTTTGCCTCAAAACTGCACCTGATGGATCAAAAAGCGATCCAACACAGATTCACATATCCAGCTTTAAAACGGAGCGGTGCTCTGCTTTCGGCGAGAACCACGTCACGTAGCCGTGCATTCGGCATTTTGATCTGAGTTCTCCGAGCTTGAATTTACTCTTCGCTTATTTAAAAAGTGTGCTCGGTGCAGGTTAATTCGCGTTCGTTTAATAAGGGCGCAATTCTCATACAGCGTTCAACTGCTCTCTGCGCTCGCTGGTCACGTGATTACGGCTCCACTTCAGCACGTTCTGCTCTTTGAGCAAAATACCGAATGTTTTGAATATGTTTTTATGTGTATTTTAAATTATTTTGTTTAGAGTTTTGCTTATAACTTTGATTTTGATTATTTATTACGATATTTGTACCTAAACTATTAAATCGGGCAGAAGCTAGATATTTTATTGTGTTTTTTGGCCCATATGTGGCCGCCACGCCATCTTGAGTGTCACGTATAGGCCCCTTGCATCAATTTTTTTATTGCTGATTTCGATAGTCCATGAAAAATAACTCAACAAGTGTTTTTTCTTTTTCTTGTTAGTCAAAAATTGATGGAGATACAACACTTTGAAATGTCCTTCCGACGTCATAACTTAGGTATAATACATTGTGAGTTGTGACGTCGAACATGCTCAGTATATCCATATATAAAAAACTTAATATTTGTATAATTTCCGGAATAATCATATTTGGGCGGAATAAAAAAAAAAGTAACGATTTTTTTTCGATTTTCTACAGTTTGCAATAAACAATAATCAATTTAATTTTCCATGCAAGTACCCTATTGCCTAATTGCGATTGATCAATCCGTACGTTCGGCTATTGATTTCAAAGGTTGTGCCCTCGTTTGCATTTATCGCTCTCGGAGCACTCCCGCAGATCTGTGACGTCACCGCAGACCGTCACAACAGACGGGTAACGCTCTTGGAGCAGTGACATGGTGATGATGATGTGTAATTTTTAATCAACTCAAATCGTAAAGAATTTCTTTGGATTCCTCTCTATTCAATAAGCGTGTTCGCAATGGGCATTACGTTCCAGTTCCAGAACAAACTTTGCTTGTTCTGTTCTGGTTCTATTCTGTGATGAGGTAGCTGATGCCCTAAATAAAAAACTAGTTAAAAAAGAAGATAAATATGTCATCGTCTCTACGTCTCTACACGTGTTCAAGTGTCAACTGTCGGATTGTTGGACTTGCGCCCTCTTTCGTTCTTTCGTTTGGACTGCGGTGGCCATCATAGAGCCTCGTCGGGTCCTTTTTGTTACTACTTTTCAAATAAATAAATAAAAATGGTGAGTGGTGCCGGAAAACTATCGTCAAAACTTGATTGTGCAGTTTCCAGGCAAGATTTTTGTGCAAAAAAATACTTCGGATCCGTTTTTTTGACCGAGATAATTGCAGATTTGTTGCGACTGTGTCCCGGGTTTTCTCTTTTATTATTGTGGCATCCCGAAGTTTTTATTCACTATCAGTTATTTCTCTCTTTTGGGGGCTCTGTACCCTAAGTTAATAGCAGGTAATTTTCTATGGTAAATTAATGTTTATTTTTCCTTTTCCTAGGCGTTCGTTAAAGTGGTCAAAAACAAGCAATACTTCAAGAGATTTCAAGTCAAATTCAAGAGGCGTAGGCAAGGTAAAACCGACTACTATGCTCGTAAGCGACTCATTGTTCAAGTTAAGAACAAATACAACACTCCTAAATATCGGCTGATTGTTCGTTTGTCAAACAAGAACATTACTGCCCAAGTTGCCTATTCCAGGATCGAGGGTGACAAAATTGTATGTGCCTCATACTCTCGTGAATTACCCAAGTAAGAATTGATGTATTTTTATGATTTTACTTTTCATTCCAAGCACATTGGCATTACCTTGAAAACACCAATGTTAAATGAATACTATTCATATTTCATACATTGGTGTTTTTGATTAAGTAGTGGTACCTAGTAAATGTAAATATGCTTTATTGTCTTATTGACAGAGCAAACTTTGAATACCTTTCTATAAAGCAGAGCAAAAAGATTCCCTATCAAACTACATACCAATCGCCTTACTCTCTCCCTATCCTATACTCAGCAAGATCATTGGAAGGAGGAACACAACTGATACAATTTCGCCAATTTCTAATCTTTTGGCTCATACCTAATGTATGGCTCATATGGATAAAACAGAACCACATGCTTTTGCATGAGTTTTTTGAGATACCTAAACACTAAACATATTCAGCTTTAGGGCTGGTTTGACAATTCATGTATATCCTTAGCAGAGCTGGGCAAAGCCCTCAGTAAAAGGGCTTGAAGCACTAAGCCCTAAGCCCTCTATCAAAGTGCTTCAATTTCAAGCACAAATTCCTTTTTATTTTTAAAAGTGCTTCACAAGCACAAAGCCCTCAAAGTGCTTTGGGCTTGACAAGCACAAAGCCCTCAAAGTGATTTGAAAAGTGCTTGAAGCACATCAAAAGTGCTTGAGGTGCCTTGAAAAGGGCTTCAAGCTCTTTAAATGTGCTTCAAGCTCTTTAAATGTACTTGAAGCTCTTTAAATGTGCCTAAAGCACTTTGAATTTGTAATAAAATTCTCAAAGTGGCATAAGCTACCGCGTAAACTCATCACACAGAATTGGTATAGTAGAGACGAACTTTACATTTCACAGAGTAGCAGTAGTATGTTTTTTTTTGAGATGTAGTTCTGGGGTACTTGGGGTACTACATGGTACTTCAATTTTAAGGTTTTCAAAATGTTCAATGGGGAAAAGTGGAAAAAATCCAGTGATAAAGTTAAATAGGGTACCAATATAAATTAATTATTTATTTTAATAATAAGTTCATTAATTTTTTTTTAAATTCCATTCTAAGCTCGAACCCAAAACCTCCATTGTTAAGAGAGAAAAGACATAAGACGGTTCAAGTTCAAATAAAAGAAAAAAAAATTAAGGGACAAAACACGATCGAAAATTTTTAAGTGGGAGGTTGAATGATGGTCAATTCAAATTCCTTTCAAAGTGCTTCAAGCCCTTTTAAAGTGCTTCAAGCCCTTTTAAAGTGCTTCAAGCCCTTTTAAAGTGCTTCAAGCCCTTTTAAAGTGCTTCAAGCCCTTTCAAAGTGCTTCAAGCTCCCAAAAGTGCTTCAAGCCCTCTTAAAGGGCTTCAAGCCCTTTCAAAGGGCTTCAAGCTCCCTAAAGTGCTTCAAGCCCTCTAAAAGTAATTGAAGCTCATTGAAAGGGCTTGAATTACTTTTTTCAATTACAAATTACCAAGCACTTTTCTAAAGTAATTGACTTTGCAAGCCCCAATTACAAATCTATAAAAGGGCTTGAAGCACAGGGCTCAAAGTGCTTCAAGCACTTTCGCAAGCACAAAGCACTCAAGCCCTGCCCAGCTCTGATCCTTAGTATAGGCTATATTGCTCAGAGGTGGGTTGCGATTTCACGAACTGTGACTTTGTCACTGCTACTTGTCTGTCACAGTCACAGCCTGCTCCAGTCTCAGTCAAGTAGCAGTGACATTTTGTCACTGCCCGCTTAAAGCTCCGACCGATGCAGCGCGGACAAAACTGGAGCTGTGATGCAAATTTAATAATATAATGTTATAAATCGCATCGCGGTCACGCTAAATAGAAACTGTTACTGTAGAGGGCAGGCTAGAAACTGGAACATCTCTCCCGGCCGTGACTGCGGACTGCGATTATGCCTTATTGCGATGTAGCATTAACATAATATTAGCAGTACGGCCGCCAACTAAGGTAAAACTGCTCCAAAAAATCACTGCTATTTGTCACAGTGACACGACTGGAGCAGTCACGTCTTGTCACTGCTCCATTAAAAGCGCAGGTTGGCCCACCTCTAATATTGCTACACTTCATTTGTACAATTGGAATTGATCATTTCGGTTTAAATGGAGGTGAAGCATCCTTGGCAGTCTTCTGTTTCTGTGACATAGTGAAGGCCTTTGATTGTGTTGATCACGTAGTTTTGTTGATAAAACTCTACACCTATTTTGCATTGGTTTAAGGACTATTTTTGAGGCCATACATATTATATTGTCGCCTTCCTTACAAAGGGGCTTGTCTCAATAAATTTCTAAATTGAGTTAGGCCCTTGGGAGACATCATCAAAAGAGATACCTGCAGCTACCCTCTAAAAGGCATATCTCAGATCCTCAAATATAGGTGATCTCGAAGGCCTATCTCAGATTTGGCACGAAAATAATCTCACAAAATATTTGTAAAAACTTCTTTTTTCTCTCCTGAAAAATCACAGAAAATGAGATAGACCCATCGAGCTTTAAACTGCTAGAGGGATCAACAAGCATATTTGTTTTGTTCCATAATGAGGTAGCGGGGTCAGAGGGGTGATTCATCCGATAAACAAAACGAAAAAAGGCCCTGTTGCCGAATTTTTTCCTGTTCGAATAATAATCTCGATAATAATAATCGTCATCTATCGAAAAGTATCTATTTCAAATTTGTCTGCTTATAATAATATTAAAAATATACTTGCGACTTTTTGAGTCTATACTTAAAATAATTCTAAAACAACAATACCTTTTATCACGACTCAATTTGGTTTTAAATGGAACTACGTACCTACTTCTAAAGAAAGATTTTACAGTCTGGCAATAACGTAGTAATTGTTTTGTGTTCTCATGGGGTTCTCAACTTTCTTGTGACAAATCAGCTGACTGCGTTCAAGAACCTGGTGTGTCGTATAAAAATCACACAGCTGCCTTTCGGAGAGGCGAAGTGTGGATTAAAATCATATGGTTTTCGGCGTTTGGAAGGGTGTTTGACACGTATTGATGTGCGCACCGAATACTCTAGACTCTAGAGTGAAATTTAAGCTCACATTTTGAAGATGCACTCCCTGAAATAATTTCCACACCAACAACCAGGTGTTCGAACGCAGCTCTCTGATACCCAAAACATAAACAGACTGGTTTATAAACATTCTATTTTAATAAGTGCAAGAAAGAGGGCCTGGTCTCATTCTGGAACCAAACAAATTCTATAGCACATTATTATTGTTATTAGTCTAGAGAGAGAGAGTGTGTTCAATGGTCCAAGGGTAGACCCCTTTGCAAGGAAGGGGTCGATATTTGCATGACCAGTTTTAAGTTCATTAATTTTTTTTAGGTATGGGCCATATAACCAGAATGGGAGGATAATATAGCCCATTTGTGAAACTGACTAATTTTGTATCTTTGTCCAATAAGAATAATTTTGAACTAGTAAAATTCTATACAAATATCAACTAAAAAATGAAATGTCTACATTGAAATTCAAAATGCTTTTTTCTATTTTGGTGTCATATCGAAGTCTTTTCGACACTAAAAGTAGTTTCGAAAAGAAGCTCTTTGTGACACTCCTTTTTTATTTATCGGAGGTTGGTAACACTGGCTGACTGATGGCCATCGAACTGTCATTCGAGATTTTATAATAGAAGATTTCTATATTTGGCATGTAGTGTTACCAACCTAAACTATGAAATCAGAAAATATGAGAATAAAATTCCAAGATTTTTTTTTTTTTTTTTTTATTAAACAATACCAAAATAGAAAAAATGGTATAAAATATTCGTTTCATAAGACATTTTATCGTACTCGCCCTTTAGAAAACTCGCCTCCGGCTCGTTTTCTAATATAGGGCTCGTGCGATAAAATGACGTCTTATGAAACTTGTATTTTAATGTACTATTTAAGCTCAAGTGGGCTATATTTGCCAGTACCTTATAATATAATAATAGGTTTTTGTTTGTTCGGAGTGAGTTCAGAATCAGTTCTGAATTGAACTGGGCTGGTATTCTCATTCTCAAAAACGCTCACCGCTTTTCAGTCGCTCAGCACTTTTAATGTAAATTTACATTAGAAGTGCCGAGTGACCAAAAAGCGGTGAGCGTTTTCGAGAACGAGAATACCGGCCCTGCGCTTCCGCATTTGTTCATATAAATATATAAAACACAGTTGTGTTGGTGTTGAGCACTTATAACTCGAGAACGGCTGGACTGATTTTTATGATTTTTGCTTTATTGGATTTGTCTTTGTCCATCCTACGGATGGATTTTATTGTCACACACTTTGCACAAAAACAATTTGAGGAAAGCACTTTATTTTTAATTGTTCTTCACAGTAAAAATGTCCAAAAATAAATAGAATGACAATGTTTTAATTGTGTATTTTATTTTGTTGTTGGTTCGTTCATTTCGAAAGAGCGCGAAGTGGTCTCCCTGTCATTTCTTGACGCTTGACCATTGACGTTCTGTGGCCAAGTTCCGTTTCTCCTCTTAGGCATCCCTTGACAGCCGTGTTCCGTGGCGACTGTTCGAAGTGCTCCGTCCGGCTGGTGTCGAGTGGCAGAGAGCCAGGTTATGAGTCCGCCACAACCATTTTGTATACGGCGCCATATATGATAGGAACCTAGAACGAAGCTCGCTGTTGTGCGGTAATTTCATTGCAGATACAGTAGAACAGAATACTGCTAAGGAACTGGAGCTATTCCAAACAGAACTATTCCACTATTCCGATCAGATAGAGTGGTGCAGAAAGAGTAGATCAGATAGAATAGTGCAGATACAGTAGAACAGATGGAGTATTGCAGTTCAGATAAAATGAAACAGGGCTGCGCTGGAGATTTTTTTTGTTTTCTTTACATTTTTTGAACATTCTTGTGCCTGAGTTTATTTATTTGGTGGTAGACTTTATAAGAATAATGCCCACAAGATGCCTAAAAAGAGATGATGTAAAATTTTAATTTTAGGTGACTTCTGATCCAGAGAGTAAAAATTAAGTTTCTTCAACCAAAGCCAATTTCACCATCGAAAAAAACTGAATTTAATTCAGTTAATAAAATCTGTTTTTTTTTTTAAAGATAATTCCCCAATTCAAAAATTTAGTAACTATGTTGGCAACACAAGCCTTTTCTACATAAAAATTTTGAAAGCATTGACAATTTTACATTTTATTGCCAACATAATGTCATTTTGACTTTTATCTTTAAAAAAAACGCACTTTAGATACGTTAACAATATTTAATAGGTATTTAATAATTCAGAGGAGGAACGAAGTTCGCCGGGTCAGCTAGTTGAACATAAATAAACAAATGCGCATGCTCAGTTCAATTCTGAACTAAGTCCGAACAAACCTAATAATAAAAAAAAGTCTGTCAAATCCGAGGTCAAATCCCATTATTGCCAGAAGCGAATATTTCTGTGTTGTGGAGAGCCATTTAATATACCTGACATACCTTTTTTAACAGGTCTTTGTTATCCAAAAGAGAGCATTGAGGTATCTGTGTGGGCTTAATCCTAGGCAATCATGCAAACCTTATTTTGTGACTGAGAGAATTCTGACCCTGGCTTGCATTTCGAATCACAGGGCAGGTCAGTGTGCTTAACATTCAGAAAATATAAAGACATCATCTCTGGAAAACAACCAAATACCTGATGCTCGCCTGTTATCAATTTGCCTATTCCTGCATCTGCCTTAACAAAAATCTATATTTATTGACACAAAAAAAATGTTCAACAACTTAACTTGAGAAGAGTTAGGCATCTCTTATTACCATTGTGCTTACATTTATTCTGTGTATGTGTTTTATTAAAATATGTATTTCTATGTTTTGTTCTTTATATGACTCTTCTAGTTATTTTGAGTTCAGACGAGACACCCTGTATAATAATAACTCATAGCTCTGCTTTTACTGATTCATGAAGTATTTCATGTGTACTTGTACTGTACGTCCAAACTAAATTACTGCTTATTTGACAACATAAATTTGCAGTGTCGCAGTTGGACTACATTAAAACCATGAACTTGACAATTTTCAAGTAAATTTAGTCTTGAAAAAAGTTATCTTCGTGAAACAATAATTATTCTGCTTTCAAATAATAGCTATATATGTAAAAATAAAGCACCACTTGAAGACAATTTATAATTATTGTAAGGTTTTGAAGTTTATGTATGTATAAACAACATGTGCTAAAATGTTTTATTTTTTCCAGGTATGGTGTCAAAGTTGGTTTGACCAATTACGCAGCTGCCTATTGCACTGGTTTGCTTTTGGCACGTCGTCTTCTCAAGAAATTGGGCTTGGACAATCTGTACCAGGGTACCACTGAGGTCACTGGTGACGAATACAATGTTGAAGCTGCCGACGAAGGACCAGGTGCCTTTAGGTAAGTAAAAGTCAATCAGGATGTATCTTTTTTCTGTTATTTTAACAGTACCAAGTAATCAGTCACTGTATAGATGTTTAGCTATAACATGTTAAAATATCAAGAGAGGATACAATAATATGCCTGATTACCTTTTACATATTTTATTTTCTTCTATAATTTTTGTCAAATCAGTTGCCCCAATTTTTAATGTCACTGTTTGAATAAAATTGATGATTTGCTTTGTTTAAAATGATGACTTATAGACACATGCGCGTCATCTGACATGGCATCCGCAAAGCCTTACATGAGACCATAAGGTAAGTTTTTTGCCTATGGAAACTCTAGTTGGGCCTAGCATTGTCATAATAATTGATTATAATGTGTCTCTGATAAAATTCTCACTAAAAATGTTATTTAAAAAAGCCCATATATTATTATTAAACATATTGTTTTTTTTTTCAGATGTTACTTAGATGTAGGTCTTAACAGAACTACCACTGGGGCTAGAGTATTTGCAGTAATGAAGGGTGCAGTCGATGGTGGTCTTAACATTCCCCACTCTACCAAGAGATTCCCAGGTTACGATGATGAATCAAAAAGCTTCAACGCTGAAGTTCACAGAAATCACATTTTTGGACTTCATGTTGCCGAATACATGAGAAGTCTGGAAGAAGAAGATCCAGAAGCCTTCAAGAGACAATTCAGTCAATACATTAAATTGGGAATCAACGCTGACCAAATTGAGGGTATCTACAAGAATGCCCATTCGGCAATCAGGGCTAACCCTGTAGCCGAAAAGAAGGAGAGAGCAGCACCAGCCCAGAAGAAGATAGTCAAGCGCAGGAAGTTGACTTTGGCCGAACGCAAAGACCGCGTCGCCCAGAAGAAGAAGAGTTACATTGCAAAACTGCAAGAACAGGAACCCTAGACGGTTTATTGTATTATAAAATATGCATAATTTGTGTAATAAATACACAGTCATGTTATAGTTGTTTTTTTTTTTTATTAAAAGGGGTGGTTTTGTTATTAGATGATTCTTTATTTAACAAAAATCAATGCAGATACCTATCCTATGAAAATAACTGGGAGTAATACATATTAGAATTTCATATTTGTTTTATTCAAAGTTGGTGTTATAGAGGAATTCACTAAAAAATTAGACAAGACGTGATAGTTGCTTGTTGGGAATAAAAATGCATTATTCACGCCTAGGTGTTCTGGCTCTACTCTTCAAAATTTGATATGATTTCGAATGCTCCCCATTTAATTTACATTGCTGTCAGTCAATTTTTGTGTACGGAGTGTACTCGAATGAATTCGAAAATACAACCCTCAGGGTGACACTTTGAAAAGTAGCAATCGGGAATATCTCTGACAAAAAATACTATCAAGATCTCAAATATGTATCAGAGGAATTTCAATTAAGCATATTTTGAAAACTAATAATTTCGACTATCTCTCGCTAAAAAGAATCTTGTCTGAAATATACATGGGGGGAACCAAATGTTTTTATTGCCTAACCCCCACCCCTCTTGCCTGTGGGCCGCCCTAATAAGTTTTCTAAAATGAGAAACTATTCCATGTGATACCTCCTTTGAAAGGTTTTTTATTCCTCTTTAGAGGCGTGCAGAAGCAGACAGAATTACGATAAACACATTATTTGGTTGATGTGTATCTGAGAATCTTATGACATACTTTTTTTGTTTAGGGATTATAGTCATATAGTTTTCAAAAATGTTGCTTACTTTTAAAGACCGATATCTCAAAAACTAATCGTACGATTTAAGATTTCGCTATAGGACTGTAAAGGGAAAGCAACGGGCTATCCAACGATGTGCAACACAAGGTAGGTTTGTATTAAAAAAAATAAGTTGTTACTTAGGATAGCAACCTCCTAAGGGGTGAGGTAGGGTGACTCAAAAAGTGCCTCATTTTGATTCCCTCTCCAATCCCCCGATACGTATTTGAGATCTTCCTGATAGTATTTTTTGTCTAAGAGATATTCCCGATTGCTACTTTTCAAATTGTGCCCCTACCTAAGTATTTCCGAACTGTTGATTTCTTAGATACTTTAGAAATAATTTTTTTAAGTTTTTTTATATACTTATTTATGATGATTTTTCAGACTCTGAAGTGCCCTTTTTTATCCATGGAAAATGTATTCGATTGATTTCAATCCTCCCTAGGTATATATTTTTCTGCGGACTCCCTGGAGCACTTCCGAACATCTTGCAGTTTCCTGCTCCATGCTCCAGCGTGTAATGGTCATTTGCTTTACAAAGTGGGCAATTAGGTCGTTTTTGCATTCTGCTCTTTTGTGGTCTGCTACAGCCAGTGGCGGACCTAGGACCTTTGGGGCCCGACGCAAAAATTTTTTTGGGGGCCTATCATGCTTTTTTTAGGTATTTTTCTTGTGGTGTTGGGCTTTAAAGTGAGTGTGCGGAAGTTATTTTTATATTTTTGAAGTTTTTAACAACCAAATATAGAAATAAATTTAATCAAAAAACAAGTTTATCAAGAACATATAAGACAGAAAACAAGTTAAAAAAAAAAACTATAAAAATTCAGGAACTTTTTATCTAAACAAAAAGAAATACATCATAGTAGTACCGCACTGCACTGATACTGTCCGTACTTCACCGACAAGTGCCATAAATTATCTGAGTCTGGAAGACAATACCAATTGGTAATTTTTTGCGAGGATAACCAAGCATAATCTTTTGCTGAATTATATGATGTGTCATACTCCCCTAACTCCCCCACCATCAAATTCTGGGATACTCGAGGATCAAGAACACCTAATTTCTTCTGAAAGAACAGACCGAAAATTACCTTTTCTACATTTAAAATCGACGAAAAAATTAACACTAGCACAGCCTGAATTGCAAGCATTCCATCGAGGTCTGCGGGTGACGTCATCACTACAAGCGGCTGATAGTAGTGACGTCACTCGCAGGCCCAGAATTTGATGTAGAGGAGTTAGGGGAATATGATACAATTACAATTGACACATCACATAACCCAGCATACCCCTCGTTTTTATTCTCATCGGTGACTTCACCGATGAGTTAGCTATCTTTGTTTAGTGAATAGAAAATGACAATGACCGTCATAGAATGGTGGACCCATCGGTAAAATTTGATGAGAATAAAACCGCAGGGATAATCAGATTATGGTTGATTATCCTTGCGAAAAATTGCCTTATAGCTAAAAAGGCCGCCTAAAGTCGACGCGTTCGCGGTTGCCGCATTATCGCATTATCGCGTCGAGTGCATCAGGGCTGGGATTACGACATTCTACTAGTATTTCTCTTTTATGACGTCAGGTTGCCTAACAATTGTCATCATCGCCTGTACTGTACGCGATAAATGAGTCGCGAATAACGTGATGAAAGTGGAATTCTACTTGTCACGATTCCAGCCCTGGATTCCCTACAGGACCTTTATTGTCGAAACAGGAGATAACACTGACAAAGACTGAGCAATCGTTCTATCTCGTGAGAACGCTGTTCCCCGGTTTCAAGAATAGGCATCCTGGTATACAACCTTGCCGTCTCTTTCAAAATTTAATTTTCGTTTTTTTTTTTTATATCTACGAGTTAATTTTTTTTTATTTGTTTTTATCGGTCCCTTTAGAATCTGGTTGTTTGGGGGCCCCTCAGCTCTGGGGGCCCGACGCACAGTGCGTCGTTTGCTTCATGCTAGATCCGCCACTGGCAGTGGCGGACCTAGGGCACCTTGGGGCCCGACGCAACAATTTTTTTTGGGGCCCTGTCATGCTTTTTTTAGGTATTTTTCTTGTGGTGTTGGGCTGTAAAGTGAGTGTGCGGAAGTTATTTATATTTTTGAAGTTTTTAACAACCAAATATAGAAATAAATTTAATCAAAAAACAAGTTTATCAAGAACATATGAGACAGAAAACAAGTTAAACGAAAAAAAAATATATAAAAATTCAGGAACTTTTTATCTGAACAAAAAGAAATACATCATAGTAGTACCACACTGCACTGATACTGTCCGTACTCCACCGACAAGTGCCATAAATTATCTGAGTCTGGAAGACAATAGGCAATTTTTTGCGAGGATAACCAAGCATAATCTTTTGCTGGATTATATGATGTGTCATTTGTGTCATACAACTCTAACTCCCCCACCATCAAATTCTGGGATACTCGAGGATCAAGAACACCTAATTTCTTCTGAGAGAACAGACCGAAAATCACCTTTTCTACATTTAAAATCGACGAAAAAATTAACACTAGCACAGCCTAAATCGCAAGCATTCCATCGAGGTCTGCGGGTGACGTCATCACTACAAGCGGCTGATAGTAGTGACGTCACTCGCAGGCCCAGAATTTGATGTAGAGGAAGTTAGGGGAGTATGATACAATTGACACATCACATAACCCAGCATAATCAGATTATGCTTGATTATCCTCGCGAAAAATTGCCTAATAGCTAAAAAAGCCGCCTAAAGTCGACGCGTCCGCGGTTGCCGCATTATCGCGTCGAGTGCATCAGGGTTGGGATCACGACATTCTACTAGAATTTCTCTTTTATGACGTCAGGCAGAGCTGGGCAGTATTTGCAATTCTAAATACTTTTTAGTATTTAAATACTTTAAAGTATTTAAATACCTAGTATTTAAATACTTTTCTAAAACTGGTATTTGTATTTATGAATCCAAATACTTTTTGAAATATTTGGTATTTAAATACTTTGAAGTATTTTAAATTTTTTTTTTTTTTTTTACGGATATGCGCACTCGCAAGGAAATGTCCTATCACGCTCGAGAAGCGGCAAGTGCGCGGAAATGTCGGTGTATGTTGGTCTTGAAACGGTTCAGGTTGTAACCTGCAGGGAAAACCGTCGCAGGGAGTTTATTCCACAGCGATGCTGTTCTCCAGAGATATGAATTCTGATATAATGAGGTTCTTGGTGCCTCTAGTTTGACAGTAAATTCATGGTTACCGTCTGTTTGACGGGTTCGCCTGGTAGGTGCTACTCTCGGTGGAATCATACGTGCCAACTCTTCAGAGCATTTTCCGTGATAGTACCTGTAGAAGAGAGATAAATCGCTCACAGATCTGCGATGTTCGAGACCATCCAAGTTACGAGTAAGTGCGGGGTCATTGATCAGCTTGATAGCTCGTTTTTGCACGGTATTCAAAAGCATTAAGGTATGTTTGGGTGCTGCACTCCATATATGTGAGCAGTACTCCATAGTTGGTCGAATCTGGGCTTTGTAGAGTGTCAGCAATTGGCTTGGTGTGTACAGATGTCTTGTACGAAATAGCACCCCCAGCTTTTGGGAGGCCCTTTTAGCAATATCTGCCACGTGACTGTGCCAAGACATGTTGGTCTCTGCAGTAACCCCCAAGATGTTCAACTGAGTCTGTAATGTGACAGCACTTCCAGATAGCATGATGTTTGGCTCACCTGTGCTGGTCTTTTTTGAAAACAGAGCTGCTTGGGTTTTCTGCGCGTTGAACTGTACAAGGTTTTTGTTACCCCCAGTCCTCTATTATCTCCAGGTCGTTATTTATCTGCGATATTTGAGTTATTTTAAGATGATGGAATTCACGTGCGGAAAGACCTGTGGGTGGTATGAGTGAGGGACTACATTGCCATCGTCTGCAAAGCAATAAAGTGGATTTATTGTTTTATCTATGAGGTCATTTATGTAAATCAGGAAAAGAGTTGGCGAAAGGATTGCTCCCTGTGGCACACCAGCATTTATTTGGTAAGAGTTGGAGTTCTGGCCATCCAGTGCAACATAAATGGATCTGTCCTTTAGGTAACTTTCAAACCAAGTGCAAAGTTTCGGCGATAATCCCATTGCTTTGAGCTTGTTGAGCAGATTTTCATGCCAAACTTTGTCGAATGCTTTAGATATATCTAAGGCAATTGTTCTTGTTTCACCCCGCAACTCAATCGCTTTTTGCCATAAGTGAGGGACGTATGTAAGTAAATCGCCAGTTGACCTATATTTTCGAAATCCGTATTGCTTATCGTTGATAATTTTGTACTTTTCCAAGTACTTGGTTAGGTGATTGTTCACAACTCTTTCCATTACTTTTGATATCACCGGAAGTAGAGCAATTGGTCTATAGTTTAACGGATCTGTCTTTTTTCCTTTCTTTGGAATGGGTTGTACTGCGGCAGACTTCCATGATGATGGATATACTCCTTGCCTGTAAGACAAATTGAATAATTTTGCGAAAGTTGGGGTGAGTTCGTTGGCGCAATTTTTGAGTACTATTGCGGGAATGCCATCCGGACCCATTGCTTTGTTTGTATCCAGCTTTTTTAGGGATTTTCGTATTTCTCTGTGACAAAAGGGTACCTCTGGCATACTATGGGAAACCCTTTCAATGAACGGTAGAGTTTTTCCGCTTGGCACTGTTAGGTTGGAGTTGGAGGAAAACATTTGGGCAAGCATATTGGCTTTTTCCTCTGATGTTGTGGCTAAGTGATTATTTTTATCTGTAAGTGGTGGTATGGATGACTTGGTGAAGTTAGATCCAACAGCTTTTGCAAGAGACCAAAAAGACCTAGAACTACTTGGACAATTCAGCAACCTGTTTTTTATTCTTTGATTGTATGTTTCTTTAGCGGAGTCAATAGTAATTTTGCAACTATTTCTGGCTTCTATAAATTCTGTGTGGTTTCGAGCGGTTTGTTGTCGTTTCCAAAGGTTATATGCTCTGTGTTTTTTCTGTATAGCCGTTTGACACTGGCTGTTGAACCAAGGTTTTGCATTAGCTCTACGTTTAGTTGTATGTGGGATATATGCGTCCATTCCAGATAAGATTACTTGTGTTATTTCATTACAGCAAATAGTGGGATCAGCTGTTTTAAAGCAAACCTCTTGCCATGGAAAATCCAGGTAATACTGTTTTAGGTCATTCCATTTTGCTGATTTATAGTGCTACATTTTACGAGGAAGTGGTTGTAGGCTTGGTGGGATGAGCATTTCGCACTTTGTTATTATAAGTTTATGATCGGACGAACCAAGTGGAGCATCCACTTGAATTGTGTACGAGTCAGGATTGGTGGTTAGGAACAAGTCTAAAAGCGCTGCAAATTTGCCCCTTTCTGAGATACGGGTAGGTTCATCGACAAGCTGCGTTAGACCACAACTTATGGCAAAAGCTTCTGCTTCTCTGCCTTCGTGATCTGTTTTGTTGTGGTGTTTCAGCCAGGGTATATTGTGGACGTTGAAATCGCCTAAAAAGACAATTTCCGCCTGTAGATAGTTTGACTGTATACTATCACAGCTTTCGGATAATGTCGCGAAAAAGTTTGGGTAATCGGTGTTACTTGGCGGTCGGTAGAGGCAGCAGATAAACTTGGTCGATGACTTTGAGGTGAATTTTAGCCATATGATATCAAGGTTCGCTGGTTCTAGCTTCTCCTCTCGATGACATGAAAGGTCATTTTTAATGTACACACAGATCCCAAAATTATGTCGAAATCGGTGGTGTAGGTCATAGCCGGGATAAAGATAGTTCACAATAGGTGTTGCAGAACTGATTTTAGTTTCAGTGAGAACAAGGATATCAGGTCTTTGTTCTTCAAGATGTTGGTGAACTGAATTCATATTTGTACTTATTCCTCTTATATACTATACTCATACTCATACTATACTTATACTACTTACTTATCAGTTATCACTTTACCAAAAACCAAACGAACAAAACAATAACCAATCATAACATAACCCTTATTTCATCATTTTGTGGCGACTTGCGATAGAATATTCAAAGTTGAGTTTAGTCGCTGCGATTATTTTTGACAGTTCAAAATGATAGATCACCGCGAAATTTCGCAAAATCGCGCTCGTCTGAAAGCACCTTTAGGCTTTATCTGTGCTTACTACTGTTTGTTCTTTTTATACTCTTCTTTTGATCAGTTGATTTGTTTTTTTGAACTGTTATTTTATTTATTTATCAAGAAGATAATGTTTATTTTTGTTGTATTTATATTAATCAAATAAATAATTTTTTGTTCGATTTGATTATTTTCAATATTTGCCGACTCTGTTTTCACGTCGGTCGGACGTATTTATTGTTTGGCAAGGAATGGTAAGTAAGCAAGTAAGTTAATTACTTATTAGAACGGGTAAAATTAGCCATGTTCGAAATTCGGAAATTTTTGATGTATTTGCCACTGCCAGTTTTCCACTTTTGCCATAGTATTTTAGCTATCAGAATTTATAGAGCATTTCGTTACTAGTGCGAATAGCGACTAGTCTATTCGCACGAGTGACGACCGATATTTTTCATAACGAAGTCTTGATTTGATTTGATTTGGACAGTGCAAAAAAGGGCCTCCAGTAGTCAAATCAATCCAGGGCCGTGCGGTAGATTTATTCAGCATGAGGCGAGTCTTCAAAATGCCGCCTCCACCGCTCGCCGTTAAACACTTTGACTAAGTAATTTTTGAAAAAATCAATACGAAATCCTGAGGTACCGGTTTTATTTATGAGAATATCAACAATTCAAAACTGAGTACTTGAAAATGAGCTTTAGCAACGCACTTTAACTACAGCCTTACTCTTCTAACTTTAAGTTTAGCAAATTCGTCAATTAACACTGTGTAATCTAAAGTGGCAGCCAATTTAGATTCAATTGATATTATTGATAAATTTTTAAGCTTTGTTTGGCATAATGAATTTCTTAGATAATTTTTTATTAATTTTATTTTAGAAAAGCTCCTTTCTCCGCTGGCTACGGAGGCAGGGAGGGTTAATAAAATCCTCAGAGCTATAATTGTATTCGGATATAAAGTAGTTAAATTATTTTCACACAAATAGTTTAAAATATCAAAAGCTTGCATAGATGATGGTAGTATTCGAGATACATCATGTAATTCTTCTTGAAGATCAGCTGCACTTAAGTCTGAATCATTATCGACAGAAAGTGTTGACTGGAGATTTGTACAATAGTTTTCTAACACTTTGTCATCTATATTTCTAAGTTTCAGAATATCATATAAAAACTGAAAGTTATTACTATGGGTTTCCAAAAGCGAGAATCGTTCAGTCAGAGAATTAAGAGTAATGTCAAGAGTATAATTAAAAAAGTTTACTTTAAATTTTTTCTCCTCTGTTAAGGGTTCATCGACTGCTTCGTAATCAAATTGACGTTTCTTCCTTCTAGCTCTAACTTCAGTTTCAATCGGAAACTCTATGGTGCATTCAAGATCCCCTGCGATATCGTTAGCAGCAATTTTCATCTGTTCATATCCAAACTGCCTATACCCCAATAAAACAAAAATATTTTTATGATATTAAATAAAAATATTTATTTAATGTTTCATGTGACAGATTTTTATATATTTGATAGATATTTTTTAAATATATTGTCTTTAGATTCAAAAAAAATCCTAACCTAATATATTTTTTAAATATTTTTGGAATATTTTCTTCAAAATATATGTTGAATCAGTTTTTCAAATGTTTGAAGAATATTTCATTTGAATATTATACCTAGATTTTTTAATAACATTAGTTTAATGTTATTTCGAAGCACGAAAAGTTGTTCAGGTAAGGTGCTAATTATGGACCAACTGGTAGAGGTCCTGGTTGTTACCAAGCAGGTAAATTCTATTCTTTGAGAATAGAATTCACCTGCTTGGTAACAACCAGGACCTCTACCAGTTAGTTCATAATTTGGCCCTTAAGCATGGGAACAAATGGATTACCTGAACAACTCTTTGTGCCTCAAACTCTTACTCTGAAATTCAAAATAGGTACATAATTTTGAAAAGATCTTCAAATGTGAATCAGCTGACATTTGACCCTTCATTTTGAGGGACAGGCCTGTTGGAATTTAAAATAAAACTTGCAATTTCTTATAAACATATAATTATAAAAAAATTGCAAAATTAAAAATAGGACAAATTTAAATTATGTAAATAGATACATACATATTATACATAAAATATTTTGAAAATGAATACCTATCAAATTGAACTAAAAACAAAATCGGTTATTCTTAAGAACCTATGCGCGACACATAATGCTCGAAACAAAATCCAATAAATATGTACCTACATACAAAAAACCTTATTTTTTCATTATCTAATTATTTCAGTTCAGAAATCTTCTTCTTCTTCCTGCCCTTCGCTATCCTGTGGTTCGTTACTGAAAATTATAATTTAGTTAGTATAGAATTAAGTATTTATTACTTTTAGAAAGGAAATAATTTTTACAACTACCTTTATAAATTTTGATTGTCAAATTAAATAATTTAATTTTTTTTAGACTTTGTTGAAAATAATTATTTTTGAGCACATGCACATTGAAAGTACGGGTAATTTTCTATACATACACATTCGTCACATTTGGTTCCTTGCCCAATCTTGATTTGGCAGTTGCCAAAAACAAAGCCACTGACTTTTTTATCCCGTCTTCACTCTCCGTAGGATGTCGTTTACGAGTAGATGCTGGAATTGAGAAAAACATTTAGTTAGATTTTTTGGGAATCATCCATTGCTTTAAAAGCCTACATGGGCCACTGGTCTGCTAAATGTGATGAATTGCCAATTTTGTTTACCTATAATAGCTTCATATATCTTGAGAGAACAGAAGGGAAGTTTTTTCTTCTTGCCTTGTCCAGAATATTGCAAGGCTAGTTTTTTGTCAAATATTTTGGACATCATTGTATATACAGCCTTATGTGCGGTAGATCCACCCAAAAGATACAAATAGTTCACCTAGAAAAATCACCACCAATAAAATTTAAAAATATCGATTTAGTTTCAAAATTTCAAAATTAAAAATAGGACAAATGAGTTATAAAAAAAGGTCATCAGAGCAGAACAAATAAAAATTCAATTTTTAAGAAAACCAAGATAACTGAAGGAAAGTTATAAGCTTACCAGTTCTTTGAAATTTTGACGTCCATTTGTTATAAATGAGTTGATGTCTTCCAACTCACCTTGCGTTTTGCAAGGGAGTTTTTCAGCATAAATCAGCTCATTACCAACTAGATTGTCTGCATTATTGAAATTTTCTTTCGTATTCATAAAGGCATCCAAGCGTTTAAGAATCTTTGTATTTTCCGCCATGTGAAATTGAATTTCCTCCAAAACTTTTGAAAGTTCTGAAAATAAAATTCACTAAGTAAATACCGAGGTAAATAAATACATATCACTTAAATATAGGTCGAGATATAGGTATTTATTTTTGAAACACACAATCTTGTGAATTGAAGATTTCCAAGTAATGTAAGTGAATCATGCTTTTTTAAATTTGGACTCTAATTTTTAAATTGGGTACTAAATATTTAACAGTTATTACCATTTGGTTTCGGAGTGGAGGGTTCAGATTGGGCACCTTTGCTACTATTACCGAAGTCTGCTTCGAGGTCGAGCCTGACTTGATTTAGGCTGGATCCCGTTTTTTGGAGTCAAATTTTCGTCTAAAAAATTTATATGAACATAGTATTCAGATGTTGAGACAATTTGTCATTTTTACCATTTGAACGCTGAAATCTATTTGAGGGATTCTCATGTATAATATTATTGTTGATTTGATCATGAGCCGGGTCATGAGCATTCACTGCTACAGCAATGGCAGGGCTGTCTAGAAAAATATGTAATATTTTGTTATACAGGTGTGGGACATTACATTGTGTGACAAATGGAAAACTTTTTTACTATTAATGTTTTCAAAAAATTAGTCTTGATTAAGTTTGGTAAAATTAGTTTTGTTTTATGTGTGAAGTTTTGAATGAGGCATAGGTACAGAGAACATACAAAGTATAAAAATGTCGATTTTAAAATAAAAATATCAAAAAATTAAAAATTTGTGTCAAATATTTTTGCTCAGGTTTTAAAATGTTTTTTTGAAAGAAAGTCCCCCATTTAATGCTTGTGCTATACATATAATAATATTTACCATTTTTTGAAGATGGAGTTGTAAATGCTTCTCTCTTGAAACCTAACAAATTTCCTTTTTTGTTAGCTTTTGCTGTATAACCTGTAACAAAATGGTAATTTAAAACAAAAATTCTGATAAAAAGTGGAAGCTAATTGAATTTAGAGTAATAGAAGATTTTATTTTTATGTTTTACAAAATGCGTTATACTCACGTTTTGTTGAACCAGCCTGTGATTCCTGTGAAACTTGAAGTGGAGATGATGTCTTGGATGATGTATCATCTGAAGATGATTCACTTGATTCATACAACAATTTTTTTCTCTTCCTACGTCGCTTGTGTGGACCATCATTCTCTGAGCTTTCTAAATTTGAAGTGTACTGGCCCTTGTCACACATTTCTTTAGCCATAGCCAAATCCTTGACAGATGTGGCTTTGCATACAGCATCCAACCAAGTAAAATTTTCTGGTTCGAGACAAGAGTCTATCATTTTCCTAATTTTTGTGCTGCTGCAATTTTTTGGATATTTGAATTGGGTTCTTTCAAAATTTCCCCATGACGATGGAACATAATCAATGCTGTTTTCTTGAGTCCAGACAATAATGTCCCAAGATTTATCCATCAGGATACTCGATCAAGTATAGTCAGTTTCACAATCTTCAGGCAGATGCTTTGAAGCTTGAGCCTTTGCAATGTATGAAACAGTGGACAAAAATATTACATAATAGCACTTTATATTAAAAAGAAGCAGTTTATATAATCGAGAAATACCATTTTTAGGAAGGGTACCTACTATTTATTTATAAATATTTGGATTTACCAAAACAACTGATTTTACCAAAAAGTCCATATTCTATTAGGGAACTTGTTATTGCAAACTATAGGAAATGGAAAAAAAATCGATACGTATTTTTTTATTTTGTCCAAATGTGATTATTCCAAAAGTTATACAAATATTAAGTTTTGTATGTATGTATAGATATACTCTGCATGTGCGACGTCATAAAGTATTATACCATATGACGTCATGAGCACGTTTCAAAGCGTTGTATCTCCATCAATTTTTGACTAGGGAAAAAAAGAAAAACACGTGTTGACACATTTTTCATCGACTAACGAAATCAGCGATAAAAAAAAATTGATGCAAGTTCCCCATTATCTCTGGTAAAAAAAAACCAAAACATGTAGGTCTTTTGACAAAGTCGTATTGAGCAATTAAAAATTTACATTATAAAATACTTATGGAAAAAAATAATAAAAAAATACACATTTTATTTGAATAGTTTTATGTTTTATACAAATCAAGTTTTGTCCAGCCCTGAATTTTAATTTAAATGTAATAATTTAAATGCAAAATATGTGGTTTTACAATTTAAAACAAATGCTTTCGATAAAACATTTTCAAGTTTCACCCGTGTTTTGTTTTCGACAAAATTTTGAAATTTATAAACTCCAACATCGCTTGAACTAATTGGGAAAGAATAAAAATTTTTAAGTTTGCTAGACGTATAGCCTACTAAATATTCATTTTCGCACTCAGTTACTCTAAATACCAGATCATTACATAAAAAAACGAAACAGTCACATTTACTAACTCCAAATTTGATTTTGGAAGTTGGCATTTGGATAAACTTACAGGAGTGATTTATGAAAAAATTTGTTTTAAATTTCTCATATTTAACAAATCTCTCTGAATTTTCAGAAAGACGTTTGCAAATTTGTTCTAAAGGTTGGTTTGGCTTACGAACCATATTTTTCAATGTGCCCAAGAAATTTTCAAAAGGGAAACAGCTTAGTTCATTTAAAGTAACATTAAAATATTCTACATCATTAGCTAAATGCAACAAGCAATGCACATTATATATACAAGTCTCTGAGCCGTATAAAATTGAAAAGTTATTGACAAAACTTGAAAGCATTTGTTTTGCTGTATCAATCCATCCTGTTCCTACAAGTTTTGAGTCAAGTAAAATCCTCATAGCAGCATGAAAAAGCAGAAAATGATCATATAAAGGTTTAGGTAGGATATTCTGAAAAACCACAGGCCCTAAATACAACAATATGAGCCTGAATTCAGTTGCCTTAAATCTTAGTAGCTCATCTAATGACCTAGGTTTACGACTAAACTCAAGAGGAACCATGTTAGCACAATATTTCAACCTTTTTGACAATTTAAGTCTGCAATTTACAGAAAGCTTTACTGGTTTTGATAATTTTTGAGGTTTAGTCCAGTATAGAAGTAATTTCCTCATAACTCCCAAACAACACAAGTGCATGTAATCAAGTGCAAAGTCTTTAATAATATCACATTTATTTAAGTTTAACAATGGTGTTGTAGAGGTGTGATGCTTGGCACATATTTTATTTTTAAAATCATCATGGGTTCTTTCGTTGAATGCGGTTTGTGAATAAACCATCCTGCTTTTAAAATATGTACCTTTTTGGTGACATCGGTCACAACCATACGTTCCATTGTGCCCTATTGTACATTTAACGAAAGATCTTGCGGGTGCGTCGCATGTAAAACAAAGCAGATCTACTTTAACTATATTGTTATCAAAAATAATACCGCTCAAAGATAGCTCATTTAATTCTACAACAAACTCTTGAAAATACCTATCTACAGAGCTTGGTTTTGATAAACCACAGAATATTGCAACAGGAAAAGGTGATAATCTATATTTATTGTCATTTACTCTACATAATATTGGCCACAGTTGCTTATTATTGCTCTTAAATATTGGTACACCATCTATATTGAATATTAATTTAAACCCTGATTTTAAAAAGTGAGCTCTCAACTCTGGTATTTTCAAATAAGAGTTTAATGTGTTCCTTATGCCAAAGTAAATAAACTGACCACTACTGAGTGTACTGGTCTCAGTACTGGCATCAGAGGAAAAAACTTTAATATTATTATTAGAAGTTCGATCGGTACCCAATAAAGTTCTAGCATCTAGACGTAAGTTCAATTTAGGCATCAGTGTGCTTAAACCTTTAAGTAGACTGTTTACTTGAGCAAGGTTTACATTTTGTTTGATAGTCCAATCTTTTAAAAACGTGTTTAATCTTTTTGTTAATTTTTTTCCAGAACTTTCTGATTCTGTTTCAGCATTTTTTGTGTCATCCGAATCAGAAAAATTATCAACTACATTTAAATGCTGTATCATGTGCTCGGGAGAATGCTCAATTGAGACATGCATTTCTTTATCAACGCCCATACTATCTAGGTTATTAGACAAGCTACAACCAGCAATACTATTTTCTTCAGGCAAATCTAAATTACATGGTATTTCTGATAAATCTGCAGTCTCAATGCGAAGTTTTTTTCTAAACCTGTATTTAGCACAGTAATCCGCATTTTTGCTAGATTTCTTGTTCTTACTACTCATGTTGAAAAAATATAGAACTCGATATAGAATTTATAGATAGAAATGTAGTTCCCTACCTCCTTATGAAACACAAAATAACTCTCCCTACACCACCAACCAAAAAAACACTCCGTTTGCTAACTAAACAAAAACAAAAGACCAACAACCACGAAACCAGGAAACCGTAAAATATTAATTAATAACTCTAGGCTAGGTACAAAATGCAAAATGCCAAAATGCAAAATGCCTACAAAATGGAGTCGTTCGTCGTTCTCGTTCTGTCCACACCGGCGCCCAACCACACAGACGACAGCGCGCGATGCCGTGCAACGTTGCCATTGCCTAGTATCTATATTCCTGCCTTTACAGTTGTTAACTTGGTCTGTAGGTATAGACAACTGGAGCGAATAAGTAAAATATTAATTTGTAATTTATGTTTTCATAAATTATCAGGATTTTTTAACGAAAATCACTAATCAGAGTCAATTTGATTTTAATCGCTTCGTCAATGACGTCAATCGCAGAAAAAATATCTTATTCAACCTGAAGTTTAGCCTAGAATGGCAACACGGTGAAAGATCATCCTTTGTGTAGATGTTTGCCGATTGGCGATTGGCTCGCGAAGTTCCCGTGACTTGAAAATGAAGCGAGAAATGCAAAAAAAATGACGGTTTGGAAAAAAATTCCCCGCGGCCGCGTTTATGGCAAAAATTTTTTTCGGGGTTCTAATGTTTTTTTTTTTTTTCATTTTGTAGTTGAAATCAAAACGAGGCCACCACAGCATATTAAAATCAATAAACAATAATTATTATTATTGAGCAACAGGAACTTTATTCCCAGAAATGCCAAAAATAAGACACTTATTTGTAACATTTTTATTAAAAAAAAAAAAACTCATTAGGTATGTACTAATAATTATTATGAGTACCTCCTTCATTACACATACACAAGTAGGTACATACCTACCTATACTACATGTTTAAGCATGTACAATAATGCAGAGAATCTAATACCTAATAATTTAATAAAATAAAAAAATAATATTTGAAATATATTTCCTTTTTATTGAATATTTAATATGTTCATCAAATTATTTATTTTATCCCAATTAAATATTAAGAAAATAATATGTTTTTTGTAATATTTTATATATATTTGTTTTTGTGAAAAAATAATTATAAAATATATAAATATATTATAAATATTCGTTTAATATTTTGTAATAAATATTTTTTTAATAATATTATATACATATTATCTTTTGCTTTCCAAATATTTAGGAGACATATGAATATATAATAAATATTTAAGTAATATTTTGTGCTATTGGGGTACGTTTTCAGTTTTTGTATGGCTTCTGATAGCATCCTTACGCAATCTGACAAATTTATGGTAACAGATTGCAGTAGCTTCGAAACTGCATTTATTTCAAATAAAATATCGTGCCAGAGAATAACACTGCATATAAACTTGTAGTTTTTTATGTTTTTTGTTAACCCTTGCGCTTAGAGGCCAACAACAAGCCGTTAAAAATTAAGAAAAAGGGTTGATTTCTTGAGACGAGAACTCACTTATTTTGTAATATTTTTTGACCGGATTAGAAAATAATGAAAGATAAAAATCTAAAGAATAATGCTGTTGTTTTAGTTTTTCGAAAAAAAAAATTGCAAATTGAAAATATCACGACCTAAATACTCGAAAAAAAGCATCATTTCTATCGCTCGGTACATCCAAACCCATCGCTTTTTTCAAAAAAATGAAACAAGAGCATTGTTCTAAATTTTATTATCTTTTCGAATCTTCTTGATTCACTAAAAAATATTAAGTAGTTTTTGAGATCTCGTCTCAAATTGTAAGCCCTGCAAACACGGAAATTCAAAAATTTTGTCTGCAGCGAGGTGCTGCCTCTGGCGGATTTAATTTCGCACCGGGGTAAGTAAAAATTACACAACGCGGGAGGACTGCAAGGCCAGTTATTAGTTTGTGTAAATAATTATGGTGATTATTTCATTCATTATAAAATAGACCAATCAGACAACGTCATTTTTTGAATAAATTTTGTTTAAATAATGGCCGTTTCCACCAACTATTTTAGGGAAGCCTTAACGATAAGTATTCCCTAAACTGACAGTTTTCCATGGAGAAATGTCAGTTTAGGGCATACTTATCGTTAAGGCTTCCCTAAAATAGTTGGTGGAAACGGCCATAAGTGATTATTTCACAAGACCTGTTTATCAGCGATTAAATTTTT